GTAAATCTACTTTTGCCTTACTCTGTATAGTAGGAGACCCCATTGTCTTGCTGCCGTAAGCTTCTAGTTGTTAGTTGGTTAATCAAGAAAGTTATTTAAAGTGGGGAGTCACAAAAATGATTCATAAATGTATGTGGCATTTTATTTTAACTTAAACGATAAAAACTTATTAAACAACATTTTGGCTGAAGTTGCAGAATTTAGACAGAGAGAGGGAGAGAGAGAGGGAAAGAAGAGAGAAAGATTTTAGAGGGAAAGAAAGAGAGAAAGAGATAGAGATGGAAGCATCTCTGCACACCCCCAGCAGGGATTGACCCTGCGACCTCCTGGTTCCTTGGTCAATGCTCAACCACCGAACCACACCATCGGGCAAAATTTTTTTGAGAATAGTCTAAATGTCTCCTTTCTTGAATAAACCCCATTCATAATACATTGATTATAAATTCCAGTTTTAATCTTATAAGAAAGGAACTGATAGACTTGTGGATGCCCAAGTCTAGATTTTTATCTTGTCTTTACCGATTGCAACAGCGATTTTTAAAAAGCACCTTGCTTTTTAAAGTCTTTGAACAGCATTCAATTTTGTTTTCATAGAGACAATTCATTTTCACTTTTGTGAAATGTCATAGCTGGCATCTCATGGCTAGAGGTTGCTAAACACCCTCCCGTGCACAGGAGAGTCCCCTACGACAAAGAAGAATCTGACCCAAAATGTCGGCGGTGCCCAGGTTGAGCAGCCCTGAATTCTGCTGTAATAGCTTGCATGATTTAATCACTTTGGGCTCGCTGTGTTAGTTAACTCCTCAGATCCTCAGAACTGCACTCTGTTAATGGCAGGGAGGCAGAAAAAGCCATACGTACTATTCTAGGGGGCCAGCGGGTCCCCTTTTGAACTGCTGCCTGAATCCAGTTAGTGCTGCCACAAGTTAGGGATTTTGACACCTCAGGTGCATGGGTAAGGAGGGTCCTTCCTCTACTGTGTATTGTTTTCCCAGCTTTTGAAATGCTAATAAAAATGGAGACACGTCTTACCTGTAGAGAGTTGTGTGATGGGCAGATTTGCAACCAAAGCAAAAATATTTCTGTTTAGAGCCACTTTTCCTTCTGAGTGCTTCTTTGTGTGAAATATTTCTACTCGGAGAGCTGAGTTTTGAGGGCGTCCGTAATGGCTCATCTATTCTGCTGAGTGCCCATCTTGGGCTCCGGAAGGCAGGTAGGTGTGTAATCATCATCACCGCTGACTGGGAGTAGAGTCCCCCACTGATGGCTGGTCCTGCACAGAATACTTGAAATAACATTCCGAAGGTGACCCCTAAATAGAATTCCTCCTGTTCTGAGTTTGGGCTGAGGCTGTGCTTCTCCTATGGGTGAGGAATCAGAGCACCAGGAAGTCATTGATGGTCTCGATAAATCAATTTTATTATATTACACGCCATAGCATACACTTAAGACTTTTGCTCGGGCCAAAACCGGTTTGGCTCAGCGGTAGAGCGTCGGTCTGCGGACTGAAAGGTCCCGGGTTCGATTCTGGTCAAGGGCATGTACGTTGCTTGCGGGCACATCCCAGGTGGGGGGTGTGCAAGAGGCAGCTGGTCGATGTTTCTCTCTCATCGACGTTTCTAGCTCTTTCTCTCTCTCCCTTCCTCTCTGTAAAAAAATCAATAAAATATATTTAAATAAAAAAGACTTTTGCTCGGAAGTTACCTTGATTAAATTTATATGCAATCGTTATATCAGGATTGTGTTTAATTACAGGTGGCTTGAATAAGGGCTTTCTTTTTGTATTTGTTTATTATCACAGTAAGTCTGGAGGGATGAAATCAGGGTAATGGTGGTGACTCCCCTAATTCTCTTTAACTTGTAGCTTTCATCTGCTTTCATGTAAGATAGCGGCCATCTCCGTGGGCACAGGTCTGCTCTCCGGGCAGGAAGCAGAATGGAAGAATGAGGGAGGAAGGGGCAGTGCTTACTTGGAACTTGGCCCGGAGTGAGGCAGTCTGGGAAATACAGATTATTTAGCTGAGTACCTTTTTTCCCCCTAGACAAAATCGAGGTTCCCTTATTCAGTAAGAAGGGGAGAATAGATTCAAAGTAGGCCATTAGCAGTGACTACCACAGTAGCAAAACAAGTCACAAGGTACATTCATGACCTGGTGACATTCAGGAGGATGTGTTCTCGTAAAACACTGCTGGAATTTTCTATTAATAGTCTTTACTTGTCGAACCTTAGTTTTGTTGACAGCTAGCAATCTTAAATATTGACAGTTTAGAAATACAAGCGAAGAAAACTCTAAAATGAGAAAATTCTTTCCATCGAGGAAATGAAATTCTTACTTTATTTATTTATTTTTTTAAATATATTTTTTTTATTGATTTTTAACAGAGAGAAAGGGAGAGAGATAGAGAGATAGAAACGTCGATGAGAGAGAAACATCGACCAGCTGCCTCTTGCACACCCCCTACCGGGGATGTGCCCGCAACCCAGGTACATGCCCTTGATCGGAATCGAACCTGGGACCTTTCAGTCCTCAGACCAACGCTCTACCACTGAGCCAAACCGGCTTCGGTAATTCTTACTTTTTTAAAAGAAGAAGGTATATGCTAGTCTGTGACACTAGTTTTTCTAATATCTATAGTTTGGGAACCACTGACAATATTTGTGTGTACTACTAAATGATATACATATGTCTCTTTTACTAAGGTTGTTCTCTTAGATAAGAACATTCTTTTCTCTCTTTTGATATGACTCACATATTAAGGGCAATTCAAATATTCTTTATGTTTAAACATATTTTCTAAATCCTGTATAATGATCCTATATTAGTTTAAAACACATATTTAATGATTTCAGAGAAGAAGGGAAAGGGTGAGAGAGATAGAAACATCAATGATGAGAGAGAACCATTGATCGACTGCCTCCTGCACGCCCCACACTGGGGATCCTCACCGGGAATTGAACTGTGATCTTCTGGTTCATAGGTTGATGCTCAGCCACTGAACCACACCGGCTTTGCCTATATTAGTTTTATAATCAGAATAAGGGTCTTAAGAATTTTTCAAGACCAATGCAAGTCTTACGATCTCTGACATTGCACCCTGTGCTTCAAATCTATTTTTTTTTTAAATTTCCTACTTCTTGAAATTTCAAGAGCAGTCATAGTCTGTATTCCACAGCTCTCCTCTTTATTATAGGCTACATTGAATTCATCACTAATTGCTCCATATGTTAGCAAGATCCTACGTTCCCTCTTAAGTATTTTTCTGAGTACCAAATTCTTAGCATAGGACTAGTTAGTTACATAGTAGATAATTAATTACTTCTGATCAAATAAATAACCACACTTAATACATTACCATAGGAAAATAACATGGATTTGATAGTAGGATAGGCATAAAGTAAAACAACTAATAATCAGGTAATCAGCATTTCATGACTTCTACCTTTTCCTCTCCCCCCCCCGCCCCCGGCATATATGTTTTATTTTTTTTAAATTTCTTTAATGATTAAGGTATCATATATTTGTCCTCATCCCCCCATTCCCATCCCAAACCCCTCCCCATTACTGCTCCCACCCCCCTGTTGTCCGTGACCACTGGCTAGGCTTACAGGCATGCATACAAGTCCTTTGGTTGACCTCAGCCTTTTCCTATTAAGATGGGACTTCTAGCTCCTCTAGGGATGAGGGGTCGCTGGAGAACTGCTGCTGGGGAATTGCTCCCCGAGATCTGCTTGCGAAGACCTCACCTTGGTCTAGAGCTGCAGGAGGCCTGTGCCCTCCCCAGAGTTCCAGCCCTGCGTGTCCGTCAGAAGCCGACTTGGGCCTCTCTGCTCTCGCTGCACCAGGATGTGTTTTCTAAACGATCATTTGTTTATTGTTTATGCATAAAAGCGTTTTGTTGTAGCTCTCCTTCCCCACATGCAAAATGTGAAAATTGCTTTGTGGTGGTTTTTACCCAATTCCGCATGATTGGCAGCTTTACATAGCCCACCTTGAAGCAATTTATTTGGTTTCCTGGAAACCTTAATTTGATGCTTTTAGAGCAAGACTGACAGTCTTGGAGTAGGAGCAAAATGACCACAGAATGCTAGTGTTGGCTGTGTTTCCTGTAGTAGAAAAAAAAATTAAATCAGTGGTTAAAAATTTTTAAGTCTGATAGATTTTGAATCTCTTTAATTTTGTGCACATAAATGTTCCACATTGACCTATTGTATGAAATTCAAGTTCACTTTATAATTTCTTTGTAATTAAAGTGGTTTATTTGTCTAGAGTAAATAATGATCACCCTAAATTTATTCTAGATATAGTAATTATTATTCCTTTTAGTTACTTTTATTCCATTTTCTCTTTTATCTTTTCTGACTTCTTAAATGATGATTGAAAATGCTCAAAATCTTGTCATGTAATATTTTTATCATCTAATAAAAGAATACCCCTAAACGAAACAATGTTTGATTTTTCATGGGTTTAGAGATTTAGATAAATGATGTTATTCTGGATGTCACTTGTCTTTTTTTTTTTCTTTTTAATTTTTTTATTGAAGTTTAATTGATATATTAGTTTCATGTTACAACATAATGAACTCATATTTGTACACATTGGGTAGTTATTTGTTATCCTTAAAAGTAGCAATCACTAGAAAAATAATTTAAAATATTAAAACAATCTAAGATGATTACCCTAAGGTCTTGGGAGTCCAAAAATAGAAAAATTGTTGATTTACCTTTGGAATTACGTGAAATTCTGAAATTTAAATCTTGCTTTTTAGTTTGGTTTGGATTACTTGCATTTTATTATGCAAGGTTCTCATTGGGGAATCCTGAACATTTTGTGTCCTATAGAACTTGCTTTTTGTGTATTATTATTATTATTATTATTATTACTCTTGTGAATGAAATGCTCTGTAAATTTTAAGGATTTCTTTTTCACTTACTTATAGGTGTATATTTTGTTACAAAAAGACAAGCACATATGTATGAAACAATTTTTCCTCTTTTACAGAACTGAATGTGAGGGAGTCTGACGGAAGAGTTTGTGATGAATCATCATGTAAATATGGAGGCGTCTGCAAAGAAGATGGAGATGGTTTGAAGTGTGCGTGTCAATTTCAGGTGAGAAGACCCAGCCCTGTCTTGAAATCTTTTTTACATTTCTCATGTTTTATAATTCCTCATTCTTCAAATTACAAAGTTTAAAACACATTGGACCTCACAAGGAAGTTGGGCCCACAGCCCAATCATTCTTTCTTACCTGATGAAGGGCTATCACCTTCTGTGCTTCTTTCCTGGAACTACTAGTAAATGGAGAGACTGGCCATCGCAGATGTGAAGATGCTTTGAAAAAATATTAAAGTTTTATTCAAATGTATAATTGTCACCGAAGGGCAACAGAGTGCGGGTTGTAGTTGAGTGGACATTTCCCCCCTTTCCTTCTCTTTCTAGGCATTTCTTACCCTCCTTATTTGCTGCTTTCTCATCTTTTTAGGCCAAAGAACATCACTGACTTGATGATGCCCGAGGGTAGGTCACAGTTAGAGATGGACTAGAATGGGTAACTTTGGACTAAGATCTTTGCTTTTCAGGTGCTGTTTTAGTTGTAATACTATTTAGTTTAAAAAGAAAGGAAGCAGGTCCAGCTAGATTTGCTCAGTGTTTGCGCATTGATCTATGAACCAGAAGGTCATGATTTGATTCTCAGTCAGGTCACATGCCTGGGTTGCTGGCTCGAACTTGGTGTGGGGTATGCAGAAGGCAGCTGATCAATGATTCACTCTCATCGTTGATGTCTCTCTCTCTCTCCCTCCCTCCCTTAAAGCAATAAAAATATATTTTCAAAAAAGGAAGCAAAATGTGTTACACTCAGTTGTTTCTTTTTGTTCATTTTATATGATTGAATTATAATCTGTTTTTAGAATGTTGCTCACAAGATGGTCCCTGATTCAGGATTTCAGATGAAACAGAGGAGGAGCAAGAATTCCCCCTCACCCCCAACATAATCTTGTTCTAATCAGAACCACCGTTTCATTTATGAAACAGTTGAGTTGGCTGAACTCAAATGGCAAAATCTTGTTTTCCCTGTTGTGGCAGCAACACAAAAATCAGTTCATTTTTTTTAGCCTTAGCGTGGTGGCTCCCATGCGTGGTTCAGAAGTCAGCCTGAGATTGGGTCTGAGTTTGTAAACAGAAGCTGGACTCCCCTCTGATTCTTCTTTCAGGTATTTTCTCTCTCACTTTTCAGTTGTCCTGAACTCTGACCTCTGGTTCTGCAACCCAAGAAGATTGTAGTTGTTTTTTTTAATTAGTGTTTTAGCTACCCTGTATCAAGAAGACTGGAGCTGTTTTCCCTCTTCCAATTGTCTTCTTATTTCCTTAGATTAAATTTCTTGATGTGGAAGTGTTGAGGGAATGGGATGTTTATGGTCAGATTAAGATTTTTACCAATAGCAGTATTAGACTGCTTATTTCTCCTTGGCTTGTGGGTAGTAGATTTTTAAGTCCTTTTACATTTTATAAATCTGAAAGGCAAAGAACATTTTAATTTGATAACCAGAGCTATTAAAAATGTTTAATATTTACTGGCTACGTTTTTGTGACTTAATATTTCATATTCTTTGCCTATTTGGGGGAGTATTTTCTTTTTCCCTTATAGTGGTATGTATATGTGTGTGTGTGTGTGTGTTATACATATCTATATGTATGTGTGTACATGATATACAGTACATTATTTGAGCACTTATATATTATTTATTGTGCTGAGCATTTTATTCATTAACTGTTCTAAACATTATATTTATAAAAATTTGTATAATCTCACGAGAATCTATTGTACATGTAGGTACTGTTTTGATATTTTTAAAAGAATAATACCATATGCTCATAGTAAACAACTTGAACAACATATAAGAATATCCTATATAATTAAAGCGAAATATGCCAAGTGTCTGAAGGATCGGTTCACCAGTTGCTATGATGTGCACTGACCACCAGGGGGCAGATGCTTTGACCAGAAGGTTAGCTTGCTGCTGGGGTCTAGTTGATCAGGACAGGAGCCTTTCTGTGGTCCCTCCCTGGCTGGCCAGCCCCCATTGGCTTTGACTGGATCTGGGTGAGATGGCCCTGATCACCCTGATCACTGGCTAGGCTGAGGGACCCCATCAGTGCACGAATTCATTCACCGGGCCTCTAGTACATACTATAAAGAAAATGTCTTCCTACCATTACAGACTACCAATTGCTTTTTTCAGAGGCAACATCTATTACTTTTTGTATTTCCTTCTAGAAATACTCTGACTTATACCAATGTGTCTGTCTTCCTTCCTTCCTTCCTTCCTTCCTTCCTTCCTTCCTTCCTTTTTTTTTTTTTTTTTAAAAAGCTTTATTGTTTCATTTGGTCCAGTGCATGGAGATGGTTAAAAGAATGGCTAGTAGTTTCGGGGAGAGGCTCAGGTAAAAGCCAGACACCAGGGGATGCAGAGGGGCCTCTCAAAGGCCTCTGGGCTCCAAAGGCTCCTCATGATGTTGAGGGTGAGCCTTTCGAGGAGATTCTCGCCCAGCCCAGCCTAGGGGCTGGCAGCCTGTGCAGTGAGCCAGGATGTGAGCCAGGTGTTGCCCATCTTCTTGATGAGTTTCACCTCCTCACCCAGGAAGTGGTTCTCTGGGAAGTCACGGTGATGAGGTGGGAGGGTTGAACCCAAAAGGGCCTGGATCAGGGTCCTCTCCAAGGCCAGGATGGCCTCCATGGTGTCCTGAGTTTTGCCCACTCCTCTGGGGAGGCTTCAGCACATCCTGGAAGAGAATGCGGCCACTGTGCTGGTTTTGCACCTTTAAGAAATGCTTAGTGCCCTCGCGCTTCTTCTCTGCCAACTTGTGGAAGAAGCAGCAGCCCACACCTTTAAGAGCCACCTCTCATGGTCGAAATAGCAGCCCAGAGAGAGGTAGCTGTGCTAGATGTGGGTTGGCCAGGCGGTTGACCGCAGCCTTCACCTCGGTGCAATAATTGTGACGAATTTGGGAGCTCACTGCTGTTCAGCAATAAGGAGCTAAGGTAGAAAAAAACCCGGGGTGTTGGTGGTCCAGGAGGTGGTTGTGAAGGGGGTGACTGCATAAGACGCAGGAGAGTGGCCGGAGGCTGGAGGAGGGGCGTTCCTGGGTCTGTTCTGTCCAAACACTGTTGAAGCAGGAGACAAATCCGGGCACTTAGTAGGCTTACCTTAGAGATGGCTCCCTTTCTCTTTAGATTACAGGAAAGAACTCTGTATTTTAAAGAGGTTACCCTATTGTCACTTTCATTTTTGGTACTATTACATTTTCACATCATATTTGTCTATTGTTGTCTTCATGATTTTTGATTTTCATTTTTTGAAAGTCTTTCCCTGCAACTCTTAAAGACATAGTGTTTTTGACCATTTAAACATGCTCGAACAGCTAGAAAATCCTCTCATGATCTGTCTGAATCCCTTGCATTCTTACTGGCGGCAAAGAAGGAAAGGGAAATAGAAGTTAGGAGTTGAGAGCAGTAGACATTTATCCAGGGCTTGCTTTGTGCTACGTGCGAGGCTGAGGATATAAAGATGTTTAAAGTCCCTTGCCTTGTAGGAGCAAACTGCCTAAGGGCTTACAGCTGATTTGATCCTGTTATTGTACTTTGGCTACTTCCTTTGACTACTACTCAGCCTCCTTATAAGCTTATAAATGACTTAGACTCTTACCACTTTAAGAACAACGACCTCATAAGCCAGTTAAACATAAAAGGGAGCTTTGGCTATATCTTTCAATTCATTTAAAAAACTTGGTTATGATTTAGGATGATTTTCAATGTTAATATAAGCTTTCAGGGATATAATTATAACAAAAAATAACAGGATCTTAAGTAAAGTCAATTTTTTTTTTAGTCTACAAATAAGAGCTATGACATTTTGCCACATTATGTACACAAAGCTACTTTTATTAATTTTGTACCAAGAAAAATGATCAGTACGGCATCTTTCCATGAAAACTTGAGTAATATATGAAGTGGAGTGCCTGTGATGTTCTCCCTGTTTCCTTTCTTCCTCTTGGTTCCGTGCAGGTCTGAAGATCTGAGAGTCAGGTGAACTGCTAATGGAAGTCTCAGTCTGAGGCGGACACCCGAGAACCAGAAGACTAACCCAGGTTTCCATCTAGTCGTTAGGCAGAGAGGGGATTCTTTCTTCCTCCGCTCTTTCATTCTGTTCTGGCCTTCAGTGCATTGGATGATCCTACCTATAATGAGGAGGGCACTTAGTTTGTTGATTCAAATGTGAATCTCATCTAGAAACACCCTCACAGACACATCCAGAAATAATGTTTAATCTGGGCAACCTGGGGCCCACTCAACTGATGCCCTAAGTCAACCATCACAACATTATTATTTTCTTATTTTCTGAACTATTTCAAAAAGCCTTTCTTCCTTAGCTCAAGAGAAAGTATAGTGGAGAGTTCTTTTCTCCAGGAAGAGAGTGGGTATAGAGGAGGCAGACCTTAGGCTAGAGTCAGTGCCTAAGTCAGGAGTTGCCATGCCAAAATTGCCCACATCCCTTAATTTCCCCATAGCATATGGGAGAGGTTCCTAAGGAAGACCCTTGGGAATGGACTGACCAAGGAATAGCCACTCTACTTCTCCTATCCTATGCTCATGCCTAGGTCTGAGCTTGTTAGGTTGAATCTGAGGGACATTGCCCAGGCTATGTGAAGTCCTCTGTTGCTTACCACCAGGTGACATATGACTTGTGTAGAGTATATCAATTGTGAGGAAATGAGATCTTCCACTGATTAGCTATGACCCCGGGCCTACTTAAGAGTCAGAAATGATAATAGCAATACCCAAACCAGCTAATGTTTATTGAGAATTTACTGTGGCCACATATAAATGCTAAGGATGAATGTCTCATAACATCTTTATTAGTTAGGTATTATTATAATTACCATTTTCCAGGTGGGGAAAATGGCACTAGTGTTAGCCCATAATTACATAGATGGTGTGCCCAGGATTGGAACTCATTTACATGAGAGCCCAGGCTCCAAGCACTAAGGCATGTGCTTCACAGGATTGTTATGATATTTAAGTTAGATCGGACATAACTTGTTACTGGTGTTGACTAGATGTAAACTCTTGAATAAATGTTTGCTATTACCTTAGAGATTTTCAGCCCTATCAGACTTAATGACCCTTTTTTATAACCAATAATTTGTATTCTGTTTCTTTACTGTTCTTTAATGAAATTCATAGATAATGCAACCTACATAAGCACATAATTAAAGAAATCAATATATTGTATAATTGCAATGTAAAGGAGGAATAAAAAAATTTATAGTAAAATTATCCTACTATAAATTATTCAACATGTAAATGCTTGGGCATGATTACAGTAGAAGACAATACAGTAGTCACATGCTTATATCTATCTACTTGTAATGAATGTTTTGATTTACTAAAGATTAGTGCAGTTTTATAGCAGAAATATCTAAAAACAAAAATGTAGAAATATGGTGGAGGCTAGAATAAAAACTAATATTAGGATAAGTTATAGCAGTATAGGCTTATTTATCTATAGTAAGTCTTGCCATAGTTCCCATATGAATGGCTAGAGAAGCATTCAGAAATTATATGGTGTTGTGTGAGTGTCTTTCTTGTGTGGTACTGTTTTTTCCTTTGCAGGACATACATCTAGCTAGCATTCATGGAATCCATCTGCTAAATGACAGTATGTTCTTTATCATTGTAACAACCAGAAAATCTTTCTGCTAAATGACAGTATCATCCTAACAAACCAAAAAGTCTTTCATAGGTGCGTCTATGCCTAGGGGGCGCTGTTAACACCTTTTGAGGGCACACCATTAAAAAGTCATTAAGCATTTGTTGAGCAAAGAGTTGGTTGAAAAGTTCATAGAGTTAGCACTTGACAACTTGGAGCTTATGATTTCCTTTACAATTATGCATTGTTTAATTACAAAAAAAATTGACTCTAGTAGACATCATACAAGTTATTATGTACAATTTAAGGGAAGAGAATAGAGGGATGTGATTCATGAATAATTGGAGCAATAAAGTAAAACTTTGATTTTAATTGAAGTTATTGTAGGAGTCTGCTGATAATGGATAGCATGCAAACTTGCTCATAAAATATTTTATTAGAGATTGTTTTTACCAGTGTCTGACCTGTGGTAGCATGTCATATTTAAGAGTAAATAAATGATAAAAGTAAATCTTGTACACTGGAGAAAAATTGAGGAACACACAAAATAATGGAAATAAAAAAACTATGACAGGCAATCTAAAAAACTCATGGATGCTTTGTTCCAGGATTTGCTTTATGAATGTTTATTTTTTCTAAGTAATTGAGAACATATAGTATATATGTATGTATATGGTATATAATTTTCTTGCTGTATTTTTACTTATAAGATTTTAAAAGTTGCATTCAGTTTTGTGAACTAAATAATACATTTTAAAATGGCACAAAATTCTCAGAAGTTTATATATGGAGTATGATTGCCTGCTTTACCTCTGACAATATGTTACCTTTATCTGCCACACAGTATTCTTTTAAAGGGTAATTCTCAGTGACTGTAATATTAATTACTTGAACAGATATAACATGCTTTATATTGTTTTTACTTTTTTTATGCTAATAAATTTTTGTTTAAATTTAAACAGTCTCATATATACCTAGAAGAAATGGAATATTGTCAGAGGAAAGGAGCTTGGGGGACTGGGTGAAAGAGGTGAAGGGATTAGGAAGTACAAATTGGTAGATACAAAATAGTTAGGGATGTAAGGTACAGCATTGGGAATATAGTCAATATTATAATAACTATGTATGGTGCCAGGTGAGTACTGGTAATATCGGGAAAACACTTTAAAAACCATATATATTGATTTCAGAGAGGAAGGGAGAGGGAGAGAGAGGTAGATAGAAATATCAATGATGAGAGAGGATCATCCATCAGCTGATCACTCCACACTGGGATCAAGCCCGCAACCTGGGCATATGTGCTGACTGGGACAATTCAAATTCTTACCTCCTGGTTCATAGGTTGATGTGCAACCACCTGCCATGCCAGCTGGGCTTGGGGGAAACACTTTGTAAAGTATGTGATGACCTAGCCTCTATGCTGTGCACCTGAAACTGATACAAAATAATATTAACTATATATATATATATATATATATATATATATATATAGCGCCATACAAACAGAATATATACATATATACACACACACATATATACACATATACATACACACACACACACACACACACACACACACACATATATATATATATATATATATATATATATATATATATTCTGTTTGTATGGCGCTCTAAGATGGCAGAAAGTCCTCTGAGAACAAAGATCATGTATTTCTTTATGCCGTCTATAGCATTTACCTTGGGACTGTACCAGAGGTATGAATACATGAATTTTGATCATAATAAAAAGACATTTAATTTTTAGCACTCGTTGTAAACACTGCCAGCAATTTCCTCTTAAATTATCTCACTGGATCTTTATAGCAAGCAAATAAAGTAGATAGGAAAGGGATTTTAATAGTTCTTTTCCTTATGAATGTGGGAAGGGTAGGAGAAAGTAGTCAAACTCTTTTTTTTTAAACCAAATAAATGAAAAAACTATCCTGTCGTTAGAATTGTGTCATACTGCTCTAGTATTGACTCGTGAATACAAAATAAACTATTACCATTCATGCCTATTTCTGATATTTCTTTTTGTTTGTTTTGTAGTGCCATACAAATTACATTCCCGTCTGTGCATCAAACGGGGACACGTATCAAAATGAATGCTTTCTCAGAAGAGCTGCTTGTAAGCACCAGAAAGAGATCACCGTGGTAGCAAGGGGACCATGCTACTCTGGTATGTTGTGATATTCTTCTGACTAAATGCAAGAAAGTGTGCCGCCATATTTTCTAAAAGGAAGTTTGCCGTCGGAGGTGTAGTCTCAGAACTGCTGTATGGATTGGTGGGGATTGTGTGTGTGTGTGGGGAAAGAATGGGTGGTGGTTTATTTTGGAAGGCATTAATGTAAGTTTCCTATGTGCATTTGTATTTGGGGGCAGTGATGAAGGTGAGGTATTGTAATCAGAATTATTGTATAAAGGTTAGCAGGAAAGGTAGAGACTACTCTTCTATGATGATGTATCCATTCCTTTCATTTTATTAACCCCCCAGTGATCATGTAGCAACCTCTCAGTATACGTTTGATGCTTAACACCTTTTTTTTGGTGGGGACTTGGCTTTTCTTTTGCCTGTGGTTTGACTATTAGGGTAGAACGTGATATGGGCCCCATTTTGTTGGTTTTTATTTTTGGTGGTCGGGAGGTGTGGGGAATATTCATAGAAAGCCATTAGTGGCTCCCAGGATGTGTCTCTTTCCAAGCTCTTCTTTTCCTATCTTCTTTTTCTGTCTGTCAACCCTTGTCACCCTCCCCTCCTCCCACTTGTTTATATTTACTTCCTTCTTGCTTCCTTCCTGAATGGGTGGTGGTTTATTTTGGAAGGCATTAATATAAGTGTCCTACATACATTTGTATTTGGGGGCAGTGATGAAGGTGAGGTATTGTATTATAATTAGAATTATTGTATGAAGGTTAGCGGTAAAGGTATAGACTTCCCTTATAGGATGATGTATCCATTCCTTTCTTTCCCCACATATTACAATGTCTATGTTCAGAGTTATTATTGGGCCTCTATTATAGAAGCATGATTGATTGATTGTCTGTGTGGTTGATTTCAAACCCCAAAGCCCCCACTTTAAATTACGTGGTGGTCCTTTAACCCAAAGACTATTGAATGTGGCAGGCCCCAACCTATGATCTGATGTGGTCAGTACCTTTCCTAAAGGAGACACTTCTATAAGATATGGCATAAACTACCTTCTAGAAACTGAGGGCAAAGGCCAGCCATCTCTCTGGGGAAGGCCAAATTCTTTTCCAGACACTAACTCATTCGGGGCTTGGTGAAATGATTATGTTCTTAGGCCAGTGAACTATCATTTGGTGTGGTTCTTATATATATTGTGTTTCATGTACTTGATTTAGAGACCACAGAGGAATATGGAGCTCTCTACAGTCCCCAATTAATTGTGCGTTATTTTTGAAGAGTGTGTATTTCGGACACCAATGCTTAGATAGGCAGTGAATGTTAAACATTAGGAGGCAGAGTGGTAAATTGGAAAGAGCACCGCATAAGGGTTAGAAAAAACCTGTCTTTCAAGTATCTCCAGCTCTTATTTACTGCATGACTCGGACGAGTCCCTTCACCAAACTCGGAGCCCCAAATTGTTAAATGGATATCACCTCGTGGGGTAGCTAGATGAGGCTTGAATGAGCTCAGCTACAAGGTACTATATTAGTTTTGTTGTTTGCTGGATGGGCCAGTGTTAATTCTTGTCATTTGCTCTTTGACTGGTGCCGTTCCCTGTGCTAAAAGTATCATTTTCTTTTGTTTACTTGAAAACTCCTAACGATTTAAGATCGAGGTTAAGCCATTGCTCCTCTGTGACATCTTTCTTCCATGTTTGTTCACACTTTGTGTACATCTCTATGTACATGCCTCACTGTATGTCATTTACCTGACTTATCTGTTTCTAGCCAGTCAGTTATTTCTCCTCTGGAAGGCAGCGTGCCCTGCCCAGAGAGGTAACTCATAATCCTAGGGGTGGGTGGAGTTGTGTGGGCTGGAGAAGGCGTGTGTACACTGACAGTACAGAACTCATCCTCATTAGCAGAGGACTCATGATGTTCCCAAGCAATGGCTTGCTGCCATGCATAGAAGCCAATACTATGACATCGGCTTTCCAGGAAAAAAAAAGACTTTATTGGGACCCACATGCAAGGAGGCAAGGCTCAAATCTGTCTCCCCACTAAGGGTTAGGGTAGGAGGGGCTGGATGTGGAAGTGCTGGCGGGGCAGGTTTCCGTTGGAGAGCTTTAGCACTGCATCTTCCTGGACCCTTTGCTTCTGAAAGGATTCCCGAGATTGAGTTCTGGTCCAGTCTCAGCCCTTTGGGTGGGGCTGGGGGCAGGGGATGTGAAACTTCGGTTCCTGTTTTACTGAAGGTCAGCATTCTCTCCTCTGCATGAGCTACGGCTACAGGACATAGATTTGTTCTGTTGTTTTTGAAAAGCCAACTTGGTATCTGGTTAGGCACAGGATAAGACCAGCTTGAACTGGCTCTGCAGTTATAACAGTATTTAATTTATTGGGGAATTTTAAATAACACTAAAAGAAGGCATTAGGTATTTTATTTTTTTAAAAATTGGACATGGGTTATAAAAAGGTTGGAAGTGATTAAGTATCTCATTGGCTGGGACTGCCTTATTTATCAATTTATTCCTCACATTTACCATGTTGTCTAGCGTATACTATATGCACCCAATCAGTGTGGGACAGAAGAAAAAGGGAGTGTGTTCCTGGGGAAATTTTGGTCATAAACACTGTTTTAAATTGAGTTCCCCTCTTCTCTCTCTCTCTGTCTCGTGTCTCTCTCTCTCTCTCTCTTTGGCTTTCACTCCTTATTTTCCTTATTACTTAGAGAAGATGTAATTCTTTTTTATGGCTGATTAATCAAAATTGAGCTCAATTGAAGACTTTCTATAAAACCCCGTGAAGATTTTGCAATGGGCACTACATAAAATATGTTTTCCCAGTGTCTGCCCCGTCTGGGAGTGGGATTCCTGTCTGAGGGAAGGCAGCCGTGTTCTCACAGGCGGTGTCTCCCCCTCCGGAGAACCGTGTGCAGAGCTGGTGGGCTCTCCAGGTTGCCCTCCCCCTGCAGAGTGCTGAGCGACTGTGCGGCCCCTTACGGGCGGTTTCTGCTATTGTACCGCTGGGCGCCGGCGATACTACAGCACGCCTCTCTCCAGCGTGCTCCGTGCCATATGTTGGTTCTCTTAGGATTATAAAACCAGTATTTCACATTCATTACATTTTAGCCTGGGCTTTTTCATTTCACTAGTAACAAGTCTCCCACCCACATCTTGGTGAGATTCCTTCTGGTTAGGCTCCCTAGAGGAAGTTGATTTCATCAGGAGTATGAAAACCGCAATCCTGAGGTTTGTTTTCCTTTGAACCTTGGGGCTTTTCTTCACCTTTTGGCTTTGGGTTTTTAGCCACAGATTTCATTAGGAAGACATTTGGAGCAAGACCCAAAGCTCTTTCCCTCCCTTCCTCGTAAAAACAGCTTTTTCCTTATGTCTCTCAAGCTTTAGCAAAATCATTTTTCTTTTATGTTTTAAGCGAGTTCATTAAAACATTTTCCATTTAGCCATTTACTTTACAGTATTCATTGGTGTCTACTCTGTGCAAGGCCCCTCGATATTTCCTGAATGGGCCACAAAGATGTCTGAGGTATGGATAGTTATGTGTCCAAAGAATTAATATTTGGAGAAAGGTACAAACTAGGTATGTAAGAATGAACTGGTTGGTAGTAGAAAGAAAATGAGAGAAGGGCTTCCCGAGAATGGATTTCTCAGTTTGATTTTTGATAAGAAAATTCCTGTTTGAAGTGTTCATCTATACTCTTTTTTTTTCCCCTCTCTCAGATAATGGCTCTGGGTCTGGAGAAGGAGGTAAGTTTCAGGTACCTTGTGAAGGGCATTTGTTTTCTTTCCCTTTGTCAAATAGCTTTATTGAGTTAAAGTTCACATACCATGCAGTCTGCCCATTTAAAGTGCACACTTCAGTGGCGTTTGGTATGTTCACAGAGTTGTACATCACCACAGTCAATTTTAGAGCATTTTCATTATCCCAGGGAAAACCCCACCCTTAGCCACCCCCTGCCTCCAGTCCCTCTGTCCCCTTTGGCCTGGCATCTTTGTTTCAGGCAGTTATTTTCCCACTGAACATTTGTTGCTAGACAAACGGGAAATGCAGCTCCCATTGAGCTGAGGTTGTACCAGAGTGCCTCTGCTAGGATCACCCCCACAAGTGGTTTTAGCATGGACCAGGGTATTTGTAACTCCCCCCCCATGCTCACACAGTTTTACCTCCAAGGAATTCTCAGGGCACAGGTTTTCAAAAACGCGAGGGTGCGTTGTGCCCAGCAGAGAGAAGACTTGCAGAACAAACTCCGGTGAATCTAAAGTTTAAACCATTCAAATGTTCCTGTTTGGTTTTGATTTATTTGTACAAGTATGTGAATTATCTCTGCTATAGGAAACTAATATTTGGGGAACAGCATATAACCAAGTTTACTGTGGATGGTCAGAATTAAGAGTGACTAATCTATCTCATAGTTTCATAAAGCTGTGATTCTTAGTGAGTGTCCACTGTCTACAAAATAATGTTTGAAGTACTATGGGGACACGCTAACAGAAAACTCCCTGGTAAGGCTCACACTTCTGCAGACGAAACAAATACAGTGTGATCCTCTCAACACGATATAAAACCTTACTCCAGACTTACACATTTCATAGAATCCTAACGTTTTATATTTGGTAGGGATTTTAAGCCACCTAGAGAATAGAAGAATTGTCCTGAGGAAGAAGTTCAGGTATGACAGTGTCAGCTTAAAAAGAAAGAAAGAAAGAAAAAAAAAAGATGATTACAGCTGCTGAACAATAGAACTGGATTTAAATGGATATAGTTAAGCAGAAACTCCATGATCATGTGTGAAAGGTCAGGTCATAAGTTCCAGATCTTAGAGCTGGAAAGGATTTTAAGAGATCACGTGGTCTAGCCCATGTGGTCAGACATTCATTAGGAAACTGTCCTCGTTGTTATATTAAAGAAATGGAAGTTGATCTCAAGATTTGCTTATACAGTACAGATATTGGATGTCTTGCCCTGTGAATATAAACTGAGTTGAGTTTGAAAGGCTGAGAGGTTTGCTCAGATTAATACATAGACATATGCGAGCTCAAGGTGTCTGCGTGATTTCTAGATCTCATGATGTTTCTGGGCCTTAGAGATACTTAAGATTATGATTCCTGGAATCTGTTCGTGAGGGTTCATGAGAATCTGGACCTTAAAATATAGGCAGACACTAAAACTTGGAAGTTTTATCAAAAGGGCACATTAAGTTTGGGTACTTTCCTTTTAATACCTTTTTACTGATTGATATGCCTTGAATACGGTGTTTTTCCCCCAAACCAGATTGGGAAATTCCTTGAGTAAAGAGTAATCCCCGAATTGGCCTTAAAATGGATCTCTCTGTCCAGTGTGAGATCATTAGGATAGGGTCCACTCAAATTGCGACCACGAATGTAGGGCTCCCTGAAATGTGGGATATGAGGTGAATTGGGGTCCTGGTGGTAGTTAATTGTTTTTTGAGATGGATCATGGGATTCCCACACACTTCTGCATTCTGGGTGTTTTTGGCTGTTCTAGTGGCAAAGTAGAAAAAAGGGTGCATCCTTTGTAAAGAGACCTCCTTTCCTTTTTGAAATTTGAGCATTTTTTTAAAACTCTAGAAATAGTTATGTAGTTAGAGTAATCACTGGACTAAAATTACTGCTTGTTTTTCCCCCCATCTCTCTCTTAAATAATGTTATATGGTAATTCTTATAAAGGGAACTAATTATTAAAGCCTACTATATTGCTCCTTTGTGCATAATTTAGCAGGTTATTTTGCCAGCACCAATACTTGCTTTTCTCACAGAATAAGTTGTACTTCTTGGACTTTATCATTGATAGATTTTGGAAGTAATTGTTTTCAAGAGCTGGGGTACCTTTCCCCCAGAAATAGAATATTTGCTGCTGAAATATGAACCCTATCTGGGAAGGATCCCAAATCTTGGTTGAAAATTTACTTTTTCTTTTTAAACAGAAGAGGAAGGTTCCGGGGCCGAAGCTCACAGGAAACACTCCAAGTGTGGACCTTGCAAATATAAGGCTGAGTGTGATGAAGATGCAGAAAACGTTGGGTGAGTTGACTGAGGAAAAGGGATAAACATATGTGGAGGGTTTTTTTTGTGTTTTTTTTTTTTTAATTATGATATAGAAAGGTATCATTTAACCTGCTTCTGTATATTTTATGTCTGCCTTTTATTTTATTTTCCCGTTTAATGCTAGTCTATTGACGTCTCTCTTAAGTTGATGTAATGCTATAGTTATGTAAGTCAGTTTAAGTGTTATATTTTAGAATGAAAATCTAGTTGTAATACTTTTTGGTTTTACCGCTGTCTTTTTTTTTTTCATTGATAATTTTATACCAAAGGCTAAAGCAGAAGTACTTTTATTCTAAATTATCCTATTATACTTTCAACTGGCATTAATACTAGTTTCTTCTTACCTTGAATTTTTACACAAAACATTTTATGTATATTTTCATGCATTAAAAATCTCAAAACCATTTCATAATTTTAAATTATAGTAAGTAAATATTTTATATAAGAAAAGTTTATAGAAATCCCAGTTGCACAGGCTGACATTATATTGTCCTATTTTTTTCACTCATGTCCAGCCTGGGTAGCATTGTCCATTTTTCCATTCATTCCCTGTAAGAAGCGGTATTGTTTGGTGGAGTAGTAGCAATTAATCATCAACACAGGCATGTTTGCTTCTTCCTTTCATCAGGTTGCTGTTGGTTCCCAGTCTCAACCTTCTCTTATTTCCCTGGCTGCTTGCCTTTTTTATGGTTGATTCTAAAAGCCTTATTGCTGACTCCAGGACCTTATAGCACAAATGGATCTTCCCTGCTTCAATTTACCCTTAGTGCATATTTTAAAATACTTACCTCATAGAGATTTACTCATTCTCTCTTACTCATGTGTATTTTTCAGTCCTGTGCCTTATTCAGCCTCAAATGCATATTCAAGCCTTTCGCTGAATAGCAGTAATATGCTTTAATTAGCACTAATGCCCAAAGTGAGTTTTACAAGTCAGGATCACACCATTTTCGGCATGATGTAATGTCAAAATCAGCTATTTGGATGGGACTTGGTAAAATAAATGTCTGATAATGTATTTCAAAGTAGGTGAGAATTGGCAAAAGACCAGTAAGTGCAGCAAAAAGTGAATTCAGCGATGCCCGAATTTGCTGTTTTTGCACGCTGGTCACTTGGATTGATGTGTCTATCCATTTCAGAGTGGTTTGATTTGGAAGAACATGTTTTCCAAAGTAGATATTAGTTCAAAGACACGAAGAGAAATGAGTAATATGGAGTTGCAGAAAGAACAGATAATAGATGTTACACTCTCTTCTCATTTTGTATTAATAATATAGCATGATGAAACACCATTTTGTGTGTGTGTGTGTGTGTGTGTGTGTGTGTGTGTGTGTACACAGATTTTGTTCTTTTCGGTGTTTTTCCTCAGGACTCTGTGTCCAGAGTAAAAATAGTTGTCAGTGATTGATTGGTTTGGTCTATTGATCTGTTTTTATTCTTTTGACAGTATCTCTATTCAGTACTATTTCATAGATTTTTTTTCTGCTCTCATTTTCATCCCTAAATTGAAAGAGATCTTGGGCTTAGAAGTAGAACAGATTCCATCTAGCCTCAGAGGTGGCCCCAAATGTGACATCTACAGGATGACATACACATCTTTCTGTGAATACCTGATATAATAGGTAATCTATGCCCAATCAGGGCAACTCTGTTGTATGTACTAAATCAATTTTGTGTGTGTCTATTTACTTGAGAATTTGCAACCACTGTTCTTGCAGATGCAGACTAATCGTAAGGAAGTGGGCACGACTAGGGTAGGGCTTACCAGTAATAAGGAGCATGCAGGCTCAGGAACCAACACACATTGGGACAGGCAGCTCTGTCCAGGCCACAAAATGATATAATCACAGGAAAACACGAAGGAACAAATTGGTTCCTTTACCTACACAGTAAGTGATTAAGCTAAAATGGTTGTTCCTACCATTTTAAAAAATAAATCTTAGGAGCATCTAATCTTTTAGTCTACAAAACATTTATTATTGATTGTGGCCGAGTTTAGCAATTTATATGTATCTCAGTGAAGACTGTAATTTAAAAAAATTCTACTTTTAAATGTGTCATGGTACCAAGAAAGTGTGTGTGTATATATATCTATATATATATCTATATATATATATCTATATCTATATCTATCTATCTATATATATATCTGTCTATCTATATATATCTATATCTATATCTATCTATCTATCTATATATATATATCTGTCTATCTATATATATCTATATCTATCTATCTATATCTACTTCAAGGCCCTTCTATATGCTTTTCATGAATAGTAACTTTTGTCTGAATAGTAACATTTGTCTGAAGGTAATTTTGACCCAGCCATCTAGACCTTTTGGGTATAGTAAACTGAGATGCTGAAATATGGCATTAGCCATCGTGCCTTGATTTTTATGTAAAAACCTATTACCCTATTTTTCGGACCATAAGACGCTCCGGACCATAAGACGCACCAGTTTTTAGAGAAGGGAAATGAAGAAAAAAAGATTCTGAAACAAATAGTGTCCTAAAATATTTTATGTGCATTAAAACCCAACATCACAGTCATAAACACATGTAATCAACCCTGTAAAGTAAACAGCAGCATTTAGAACCATTTTAGAGCCAGGCAAGCACACAGAGACCACACAGAGCCGGGCAAGTAAAAAAACTTTTTTTTTAAAGTATATGTGTAGGCTATATTTGGACCATAAGACGCAGGGACTTTTCTCCCCCACTTCTGGGGGGGAAAAAGTGCGTCTTATGGTCCGAAAAATACGGTATTTAAGAAGGTGTTATATAATTGTTTATCAAAAGATAACATTTTAGTTGTTAGATACAAGGTCTGAGTTATAAACCACATATGCCTATCACCACTTAATTATTATAAACTAGTAGCCCTGTGCACGAATCCGTGTGCCAGTAGCTTGCCAGTAGCTCGCTGCTGCCGTCCAGTAGCTCTCTGCTCGCTGCCCTGTCCCCCTGTAGCTCCCCCACTCCCCAGCCCCTGTCCCTCCCTAGCTTTCTGCCCTGCTCCCTCCTGTAGCTCTCCTCTGCCCACTTGTAGCTCACTGCCCCGCCCTCCTGCTGATCCATGATCCCGTCATTACATGGTCGATCATTACGCCTCACTGTGTAATGGCCATTTGCATATTATTACATCTTCATTATATAGTATTCTACCAGGATCAGAGAATAGGATCTTGAAGTTTATTTTCTAGTTCAATCCTCTCACTTTACCGATGAGAAAACGAGGACTGAAGTCAGAGGGTTTTGTGGGGTGGATTCACCTAAGTTCTAGAACAGTATGTTTCTCACATCTACCTCCCTGTATTTGTCTGTTTCATTCCTAGAATGAGAGCTATTGTCTTTTCCTACTTCATAGACTGCTGCTTAATGACCTTCTAAACATTATATTTAATATGTTTTTTTCTTCTTAATATGTTTTTATTGAGTTTTTTTTAGAGAGAGGAAGGGAGAAGGATAGAGAGATAAACATTGATGAGAACCATTGATTGGCTGCCTCTTATTACCCTTCCCCCCCTTACTGGGGATCGAGCCCACAACCCTGGCATGTGGTGACCTCTTGGTTCCTAGGTCAGTGCCAACTGCTGAACTACACAGGGGCTGGGCTGCTTGATGCCTTAAAAAACAACAACAATGCTCTCTTCTTCAGCCTGGCCCCAGCTGTGAATTCTGTATCTCCTTATCATCTCCTCGTCACTCTTGAGTACTAGGTGCTTTAAAAAAGTTGTTTAGTTTTTTATCTAGACCACCATATGCCAGTTTATTGATTTGCTTATCAGCCACTTTCAGACGTTTTGACCACAACTCCATTTACACTGTGACCCAGCACTGGTATATACATACACGTGCACTTTAATATTTCTAGCCTATTTTCTTAACAATTGCTGGTAGTGATTCACTAAATTGACTTCATAATCCACTAGTGATTATGCCCTTCAGTTTAAAAAATATTGCTCTATAACTATAATAGGTATGATATTTCATGTCATACTTTTAAAATATGGGTATTCAGTTAACATATTTTATACTTTCTCATTTTGAAATGTCTTCCCTGTCAGAAGAGTGGTTATATAACCTATCTAGTCTCCCAAGGGCAACTAAATGCTTTCTTTTGCTTTAGGAAGCTTTTTCTCTTTATCTTGGTCACAGTTTTTAAAAAATATGGCATTTGGCAAGAGGGGAAAAAATGGCACCATGTTGATTTTCTGGTAATAAGAGAATTGCTAATTTTTTATTTAGTCATTTAAATGGAAATTGATTTAAGTGTATTGTCATCTTAAACATAGTTCACAGAACATATTTCAACAATATTAGTTTTTAGACGTTGTTACATGAATTATTTTTAGCTCTTTATGGTGGGTAGGGCAAGGAAGCATTATCCAGGTTTTGCAGGTGAAGCTGAATGGCTTGTAGCTAAGCAGCAAAAACACTGTTGTGCGTACACATGTTTATGCTACTGTTTTCAGGGGCCAGTGGTGTTCTCAGTAACAGTTTGCTTTACTCCTATGCCTAAGGAGCCATTCTGCTCTGTGTTTTGAGTTCTTATATAGTTTTTAAAAAAATAATTTTTCTTCTCCAGTAGGGTTCTTAGCTGCTGCTTCTGGGTCTGTCAGTGTGCCTTGCAAGTGGGCCTGACTGTAGTGGCCCCAACTCTTTTTTTGTTTTAGAACATTCTTCAACTTTAAGAAATATATTTTTATTTATTTCAGATAGGAAGGGAGAGGGAGAGAGAGAGGGAGAGGGAGAGGGAGAGGAGAGAAGGGAGAGAGAGAGAGAGCGAGAGCGAGAGCGAGAGCGAGAGCGAGAGAGAGAGAGAGAGAGAGAGAGAGAGAGAGAGAAATACAACAATGATGAGAGAGAATCATAGATTGATTGGCTGCCTCCCTCACACCCCCCAGTGAGGATTGAGCCCACAACCCAGGCATGTGCCATGATGGGGAATTGAACCGTGACCTCCTGATTC